ACAGTCACTGTGCCAACGGCGCTGCAACACTTCGTCGGAACCGACGCTGTGACGTCAGCTCAGGACGGTCCGCCGTCCTGTTTACCCTGTTGCCACGTCTGTGCTCGGGGTCACCATCGACGGGCCGGCGGCGGAGCGTCGACCGGTGGCGGAGCGTGTTTGTGATTGGGGTTCGGAGTCGCCGAGGCTTGAAATCAGGCCCATCATGCCAGATCGAAGACTGTGGATGTAAAGCGCTCGGCCCTGCCACACAAACCTCCAAATCAGGCCCATGATGCCAGATTAATGACTGTGGATGTTAAGGACTCGGCCCTGCCACACGAACCTTCAAAGCAGGTGCATAATGCTAAATTAATGACTGTATATGTATACACTCGGCCCTGCCACACAGACCTTGTAATCAGATCCATGTAAGATCAAAGCCTATGTATACAAAGGAGTTAGTCCAACCATACAAACTTTAAAATCAGGCCATGCTAGGCTAAAGAATAGGTATGCATAACACGCCATCCTGCCACACAAAAGTTTTCTGATTTCGTTTTTCCTAAGGCGGGTTTGAACTCTGTTTCTCAAACGGCCTTTTAAACGGCAACAAACCCAAGCCAGCCGAAACGTTTCCATTCCTGCGCTTTGCTTCGACCGTGACGCCACGGACTGAGGAATTGCCGCAATGGTGGCACCATCTTGGCGTAATTGCCTCTCGCAGAATGATCACCATCTCACCTCACCATCTTGAAGAACCGTTTTGGGCTGAAGGGATGATTTCAAGGAAAAAAAACATCAACAGCAACAAGTAAACTTGGAGAGTACGTCAAAAATATGTCCGCACTTATCACAAAAGCAGTTGTTTGGTAGGTAAAGAGTGATCTTAGGACTAGCATTTCAACGGGACAGATGGCCGTTGTGAATGGTAACAGACATGTTTTATGGTGCCAGGGCGACAAAGTCGCAAAAACGCGCGATCGCATGTTTCGGCGGAAGGCCATGCACGCAATTATTTTCGATAGCACATGTCAGGATCCCTCTGACAGCACATGAGCCCTGTGCAAACATCATGCGACGCACAAAACCTCGATAATAAACGGCGCGATCCGACTGCCGCAGTAATACAGGACTGTGTGGCGCAAACGTTACATTTCCGACGCACCATTCCAACGTACACTGGCACACAGATCAGTGTGCATTGCGCGTATGAGAACGCAGGCAAGCAAATGAGGACGAGATCGTTACATGTCCACGACTCGCTATGTGGCACTGCCGACCAGCAACTGACAGGAAAGCGTGAGTGACAGCAAAGCGCCATTTTGGAACTATATTCCTGTGGACACAGCGACTTGCCGGTCGACAGACGCTGTCGCCATTAACAGCTGTGGGCAGCGACGGCACCGCTGCCGGGATGGATCTGCGAACAGCGCTGAAAAGCTGGCGTTGCTGTTTGTGCTCCATTTGGTTGTGTAAAATACCACCCTTCCACCGATAAAGGTAACGGTGAATCGAAAAGACACGCCAATATCATTAATGCGCGGCGACGAGGTTCACTGCTCTGGGTGCAACGGTGATTACAGGACAATTGCGTTAATACCTAGATACACAGCGTTGGAAACCCCTGGAAAGTGGGAGGATTGGAGGAAGTGCGGACGATAACTGATGTCAATTGCGGGCTGTCCGTTTGGTATCATGCGATGACGCCATTCCCTGGTCCGACGCCACCAGCATTGCTACAGTTTGGTTGCCACGGCAACACGCTGTCCGCTTACAACACGCTTTGCGTGGTTCCACACAGCACAAAAAGCGTCTCGTAGATCACACGTGTCTTCTGTCCCGCTCAGCCGCAGCGACAATGATGACGAGACATAACTGATCCGTAGACTAAAGCTTTACCATCGGCGCTGGTGCACACCGTACATAACCGTAGGCACGTGGACATATCATTTAAAGATGCTGCCCGGCATATGTCATCAGACACGGCCAGCCGCACTACAAGAACTTAAAAAATAGCCGGCCTATACAAAAAAACAAACATTAGGGTTGTGAAAAAGCACGAAGGTTCGTCAAGGCATGCTCCAATCACGCCTGGAACTAGTGACCTTCGAAAACTTCAATCGAATCAGAATTTATTTTCCCTCATGCGAGGTTGCATTAAATGGTTTGTTCATAAGCTTCAAGTTTGTAGCGTTATCCCACGGCCACTTTGCACCCAATGTGGATTACTGCACTACCCTGCCTGTGACACTATCCATATTCCGTACGTGGGCACATCGTCGATATGGGCCCTGACACCATGCCAACACGCAAACCCGGCATTAGTCGGCATTCAACACGGCCCAAGCCCCATATACCACTGAAGCAGCTGCTCAGACGAGATTGGTCCACAGCAGCGTAGTGCAGGCAGCGCGGGGATTTGTCGGCAGCATGCTGACGTTCCGAAGGATTTTTCGGCAGCATGCTGACGTTCCGGAGGTAATAGCGGGAGGCCGCGAGATAATGGCCTGGCAAATGGACCAAAGCCTTGTTGGGTCCAATATCATCGACCACGGCCCGACAGCGCCAGAAAAAGAGGGGACGAACGGCACAGAGGGAGGGAAGATAGGAAGAAAGATGGCATAGGAAGGCAGCTGTTAAGGACGATCTGTTGTATGTATGTCTTGGAGAGATGATGTAAACAATTTGTCTTGTTTTAATAGTAAGAGCAGTTAGTTTAGAACATGACGAGTTCATTTATTAAGCACTTAAGTTAATTATAACGTAAAACACAACGCGATGACATATCACAACAGCGGCGATATGCATCTTGGGAAAGCTACAGATAATGCACGCGTTTCTGAAGCATTCGAGGAAATGTTCCACACCTATATGGGGTTTTGAACTGAAATAGCCATCTTAAAGACATTTCGGCGCTGTTTACAACCCTGTCCTCTTCAGGCCTAAGCCCCGCTATTTTTTAGCTGTACGCCCGCAAAAATGGGGAGAGTACTTAAAAGTCACCCTGGCATTCATGATGTCCTAACAACGTCATTTACCGCGACTGCGTATGTTCGCATTGCGCCATTTACGTGCCTGATGGGCCACGGGCTATCAGCAGCCTGATCAGGCGCCGATCTGAAGAATCTCAGCAGCACACCAGAGCCACCGATGACAAAACTGTACTGCAGACGAGCGCTGTAAAACACCCTCGCTTAGAGTGCGTAAAAAGGCCATTTCCCTATCGAACCGTGGCGGCGTGGAACCACCTCCCTGTTGACACGCGCCAGTGCAAAAACTTAAATGAGCTGAGGGGCAGAGCAATGTCTTTCATCAGAGAACTTACCTACATTAACTAACTGGCCACGACGTACAGGTCCTGATTGTATCATCAGTCGCTCATGTTTTATAACATCGTATGTGTATCGCTGGCGTTGCGTCCCATTTGCATGTGCTGCGTGTTCTGTGTTTATCTATGTAGTATGTACTGACGCGGCGTTAGAACAGCCACCCGTTGAATTTCGCCACGGTTCGCAACAGCAATAATAATAATAGTAATAATTTAAATCCTGCCATTCCACAAGCCATGCGGATATCAAGGCCACGCAAAATATAATTGTCGAAACGTTGCTATCTGGTGTTTGCGAACACTATTTCCGGATATAACTACCGTCAATTGGCTCTCGATTAATATTGTGCCAGCTGCGATGACGTAAGCAAACCATGACGCATTGAGGAACATATTTACTAAATAAATAATTGTGCTGTCTAGAGCAGTCTTTTCCACCTAAAGAGTATACCAACAGTTACATATGAACTTTTTGATCACATCTGATGCTTGTTTCAATACCTTCAAACGTGAAACATTTCCTTTAAGTGAGCGCTGTTCCCACCAGGATATCAAATTGACCTAAGGTATAACAATCTACTGAGCAGTCGACCGGCGCAACAAACGTAAGGATGCTAACATTCAAACGCCATTTGTAACAATATGGAGTCCTATGAAACCGTCGTTGTTGCAGTGGTCTGTAGCGAGTTGCATTGTTTGGCCCATAGTGAGCCCAAAAAACCGTCATAACCCAAGCTTTCAAGCAACGTAATGTTCGTTTAGAAAGATATAGACGCGAAAGATCGGTTTGTTTAGTTTAGTTTAGACCCAACTTCACAGAGTTATGGGTCAAGCTTTGACAGCCGGGCTCGCAAGACCAACCACCGACATGAAGCCTGCTACCCTTGGTCCAACAGCCTCGCAAAACCCTCACCCGCGTGTACTCGTCCAGTCGTTTTCCCCGGGCCATAATTGCATCTGTCGTCGTTGCCTGCTGTCAATAGTCCGCCAGCCGCGATAACACACTGACCTTGGTCATCGCTGGCCACAGACGGTAACGTGACCGACAGGTCGCGCGCTGCGTGGGTGACATGGTCTCGTGCGTACCGTGGAACGTACTGCAAGTTATGTTTTTGGGGGACGGGCGCCATGCGTAATGTAGATGCCCTTAGAATGGGATGGCAGTCGCAATAAGCATGTGAGATATCACCATGCCACCCCTCCCCCCCCCCCCCCCCTCCTTCAACCCCCGCCCACTTTCGATAAGTAACACATATTCACACTCGTTGCAACTCGCACGCTCGCCACTGACGGCACTTACTGATCACTTCATTAGGGGACAGCCTTGCCAGAGGCACGGCATGGCCCTCCTACCCATGGGCCTACCCCAAAAAGAGCACGCCCGTTTTTGTTAGAGAGAGATGCTCATTGGTTTCAGTTTCGTCTCAAAGGTATGATGCACAGGTCATCGGCATCACGTTCTTGAAATATTATTCACATTGCAATCTCATTATACGTATGTCAGATTGTATTGATATGCACAAAAAGCACAGACAAAAGGTTTCATGGCATTCGTCTCATTAAAAAACGTCCGCCATCGGCTCGTCATAGAAATGCCTCCACCTCTATTCTCCTCGCTACCGTTTCCAGACTCCAGAACCCAGGCACCTTGTAACAGCATTGTCAGAAGACATCGCAACGCGGAAGTGTGCTATGGAGCTGAAATCACATAATCCACGATTCTCACGGCATTCACGCTTTCTGCAGACGCTGAACTATTACCGGCGTAAAATCAAATTGCCTTCCCGTTCTCAGCATGACTAATGTAGCAGCCTTGGCGAACGCCTACGAGCCAGGCGCCTTGCCGTGCCCAGCCAACTGGAATAAAGCCCTTCATTTTGCGAGAATACAACTTTTTCAGGCAGAGTTTAACGTCCTCCGCCCGTCCCATGGGCCGTGCTCTTACCTCTACCCGTCCCATGGGCCGTGCTCTTACCTCTACCCGTCCCATGGGCCGTGCTCTTACCTCTACCCGTCCCATGGGCCGTGCTCTTCCCACCACCCATCCCATGGGCCGTGCTGTTCATTCACCCATCCCATGGGCCGTGCTGTTCCTTCCACCCGTCCCATGGGCCGTGCTATTCCCTCCACCCGTCTCATGGGCCGTGCTCTTCCTTCCATCCGTCCCTTGGGCCGTGTTCCGCCCTCTGCCCGTCCCTTGGGCCGTGTGATTTGCATCACTGTTAGGCCTTGACACAGAGTCGCAAGGCTCCTGAGTCCCTAGATACGATTATGAGCAAGCTTGTCGACGCATTAGCTGTTAAGGTTATCAAAATTGTAATTTTCAGACCTCGCTTTCCTTGAAATTTAATCACGGGTTCAAGGATTATGCGTTTAAGGTTTCACCCAGTAAGATTCTAGTCATAAAAGTAGCACATATATGGTAGCCATATTCTACAAAGTCGCATTCTGGGCACGTCAGCCAACGCGCCCGGCTAGCGGAACTTTGTGTGCAAGAAAGCAAAACAGTTATCGCGTCAATCTCAGGAAATCTCTTTCAAACAACTCCCTCCGACATCAGGACCTCTACGACACCCGGCTCCCTGAAACACCAGAAGCCCTCGAACAACGTCATATTTCAATTCCTCGTAATCTCAGACAACGTCAGATCTGGATCCCTCGTGTCTTAGCGACGTCCGGCGACTAACCAGTCCCGACCTCCGATGCACCAGACTCTGACCTCCCCTCCCCCTCCCTCCCTCCCTCAGACCCCAGACGGGAGGGGGGGGGGGGGGGGGCGCAGCGCCACCGTGACCGGGCAATCTTGCGCTGCAGAAACTAGGTCACGACGGCGCGGGCGGCTCGACTCGGCCTCCGGCATGACCTCGAGGGTACCAACCAGGCGGGGCGGGGGGGGGGGGCGCAGCGGAGAGGAACGACGTGACGGTGTCTGGGTCACGGCGACGGCGAGGGTCGGAAGGGCTGGGAACGTGGTCTCTGTACGCGTGTCACTGAAGAGAATGGGGCCATGCATCTAACGAGTGGTAAAGGTAGACCGTTGCAAGATGTGCAAAATAGACACTCGTGCGTGTACTGAAACATTTGTCCCGTTTGCACGCAAGAAAGCAACATGTTCCCAACGCCGGGATGATGTGAGCTT